TTTTTTCTTGTCAAGAATCTTACATTGCAAAATGGTATCTATTTAGTATCGACAAACTATCATTCTTGCAAATATTCAATACTTGTCTGTCTTGTGAATTGATTTTACGACGTACTTGATCTTCTCAATGGCATTCTAGTCTAGGACTAACGTTTAGAGTTTTAAAAGCTCCGATAGTATATTAGGGTTCCTGGCATAGAAGAGATCGACCATCTCTCATCACAAAATGATTTTTTATGGCAATGTTTACTTATATCAGTAGAGAACATTGTACCAATATCCGAATGGTATTCCATAACGTCTTCTAGTAGTTAAAGTCCTTTGCTTTGAAGAGATCTTAAATTTTACACATGAATACTCTATTTCTATGGTAACATCCCATGTGAACATTTTATTGCTTTCGAATCTTAATCAAAATAAATGAACACTATGTCGTTTATCACTTTGATTATTTTTGATTTTTGAATACTTGTCGACTACTTTTTTACTGTAACCAACTATAATAGTTGATACTGATCGCCTATGAACTATGTTTCGAGATCCAATTCTATTGACGTACCGCAATGAAAGTATATGCTGATTGAACTATGAAATCTCTGTCATATTTATCAAGAGACATAAACGAATCAGCACCATCATCATCATCAATGTAGTTGCCAACTAAAAATAGTACTCATGTGTTAAACTTTATTTATTCTAAGTTCAAGTTTCCGAGATATCTTTCTTTCATTTCGTAACAGTCTATTCTATATTATTCTCTTCCTCAATTTTGCAATATAAACATTTTTGCAAATAAAGAAAGCTCCTGAAAAAAACTCTTAATATTCTTTCGATTTTAACACTCTCTCAACATGATGTTAATTATACTTAGTCTATAGATTTTCCGAACATTAGATGCTTTTGAATCAATACCATAGAGAGACGAAATCGATGTAATGTCATGAACAGCATTGAATTGATTTTAATGTATTTTGATTGATTGAAACTCGTTAATAGAGTAACCAAAAGCTCTTGATAAGATGCAAACACATGAAAAAAAGAAAAGAAGAAAAATGCAATATAGCGTTGCTGCAGCACTTCTTTGTTTACATATAATACTTTCACATTGCCACAGACTCTACAGACACGAACGAAAAAAGAGAAAGCGGTCGCAACAATAATAAAAATTCATTAGTTTGTGTTTTTGTTTTGTTCGTTCGTTCGTTCGTTGTTAATATACTTTTTTGTTGGTCTTTCATATTTGTTATAATTGCATTTACAGAAGAAACTCAAAAGAATCATGCAATCAACACTACAGCCAATTTTTTACTTTCCGGCACAGATTTGTATCTTTGTGCAAAGAGGTGCGGGATGTGTTACACTGATAAAGGCTTTTTTTTGTGACTTCCGAATTAAGAAGAATGTGAGTGTGGGTGTGAGTTTGGCTGCTGGACTCCTGTTCATCCACACCCACACCCACACCCATCCACAGAGCACAGTAAATATTGCTGAGGATTAAGCACGATACAAACGATTCTTTCCTATTCGAATCACTAGTTCATAATTTACAGTATATTTGACAAAGATAAAAATTGTTGTTTTGACCGCTGCTTCAATCAAAATTAAATTTACTTTTCTCGTTATTTCGTTTACATTATCAGAATGTTCATAACAATCATAATGAAAAGTCAGATAGACGATGTCTTTGTCGCTGCCAGAAAGAGAAAAACTGTCGTTCTGAAAGAATGAAAGAGAAATAAACAATGAATGAGACAAGGTATTCAATGCAATGACACTCAATTCATTACACAGATGAAAAGCAAACGAAAGTTGGAAAGAATAACAATAGAATAAATGACGGCGTTGGATTTTTTTTCTGTTTTACTTGTTGTTGACAACCATATTTTCAACTGAAACTAAGTGAAGTTCGTTGATAAGTGTCAACGAAAAAACATACACATATTTCACGTCGTAGAAAAATCTAGAAAAAAAACAACAGGTATCGACTGTAAAAACAAAAAAAGGTGCTCTCTTTATAAACAAAAACCAATTTTTTAACGTTTTGAATTAATAAGCAATATCTTATAAAGAATTTCAGTGAAAAGAACATCCAAGCAAAATATTTTCAAATCAGCCATGAGTGCTGCTGCTGGAACTACAAGATCTTCAGTTGTTGCCAGCCGATCAAAACAAGGTTGGCTTCAAAATTATTTACTGATCTGGGTCGATGGCAATATCGACGAAAAGAACGAAGATTGTGCAAATACACTGACCAAACTGCGCAGTATCGTCAGAGAGATCAATCTCTGTACGACGCCTGCGCAGTGCATCAAATTTCTTAATGATATGGATAACAAGAAAGCTTTCGTTATCTCGTCTGGAGCATTAGGACAGCAGCTCGTTCCAGAAATTCATGACTTGCCACAAGTGGACGCAATTTACATCTTTTGTGGCAATAAAACAAGACATGAAGTATGGGCCAAAGACTGGACAAAGATTGAAGGTGTTTTCACCTCAATCGAGCCCATTCTCAAATCATTGAAAAAGGTCGCC